AGAAAGAACGGTTTTACTAAAATATCTAAAAATTTAGCTATATAGATATAGATTTAAAAATAATTTTGCTGGATGTTAAAATAATTATGTAAGACGCTCAAGCTGATTGCCAGTGTCAAGACTTTTTGTAATATTGTTTATTATGTTTGAGCATCTTACATAATTATTTTGATAATCCAATAAAGTGATTTTCAGATTTGTATCGAGCTAAATTTTTAGAATCTTAGCGAAATCAATCTTTGCTTGTGATAAAGGAAAATTAATCATCATGTTGAGTTTACTAAAAAATCATTATTTACTTATATGAGCTCATATGAAAGTCTTACGTTTTCATGAAACGAATTTTTTATCTAGAATTGCAATTATCGATTCAATAAATCTTCTTTCGAGGAAGAGATAACGGAACATGAGGGTACTGGTAAAATAAATTCACCCTCACGAGCGCGGATTTAATCTTTTGCCCGTAACATTCTCTTAAAAAAAAAGCTATAAAATTATAATTAAAGTCGAGTAATTACGAGTGACTTTTCCCAACAAACACAAAGTTACACGTAACGCGTACCTCTTAGTTGTAATTTTCTATTCAAAAATAGATACATGTTACACTATACTGTTGAGTGGGAAACTACTTACTTTGTACTGATTTAATATCGTTTGACATTTGACTAAAAAGATTGTCAATGGTATAAAAAAGAATCGCCGATGAAGGGAAAGAAAGGTGATCTTACCCAGGAGGGACACAGCTCTCCCCTAGTTCTTTTCGTCGCAAGCTCTCCGTTCCTTTGGCGTGATTGCAATTGCCGCGAAGGAGGCCGGGGGAATCCGAAGGGAAGCGTCGCGGATCTCGCGATGTGCCAGTGCTATCCCAACGCGATCCCAAAAGTGATCTTATGGACGTCCCTCGTGCTATCCGCCGATCGCGCGCGAGAAAGAGGCGTGCGAGCGTACGCCGAAATCACGCGTGCGGCGCGAATGGCACCTGTAATCAAACTGACGGTCGAAATCAGCGGGAAGCATGGAAATAATGGACACCTGTACACCTGGGAAGTGGAGAGAGAACGGCAAAAGAGCAAATCGTGCATTCCTGATGAGAGATCCCCGCGTGACAGGCCATAGGGGGCCCATAGAGCATGGATAACGCGCGCGGGGACGGACAGGTGGGGTCCCCACGTCCGACTTCTCTGGCCTTGCACGCAGCGGAAGTGGACCCATTGTGTGTCCGGTTTCCGTGAGGCCATCCGGGAAAACGGGCGACGCGTCGTGTCCCCAGCGTACCCAGCGGCGTAGGTTCTCGTCATCGAGGCCGACTCGCGGCGGAATCATGGATTAGAGACTCCCAGTCGAGGTCAACCAGGACGAGATCGCGCCGTCATCATCGAGAGTCAACGAGCCGAGCCGCTCAACGATCGACTGGATAAAGCGCGGGGTGATCAGGCATCTCAGTATACAGGGGTCCGTAACCTTTTGTTCGCCATATTAGATGCCCAGCGTCGAGAATTATTTTCTTCATACAAAGGTATCGCCTAATACATTGTTCCGTGATTTTATTTATTTTACTTTTATTTTCAGTCTCATTTAGAATGTACGTTCCAATTCGGAAGGTACAATTTTCAATCGAATGTGTTAACAAAAGAATTTAAGAATAATTTTTTAAAAATTGAGTATAATGTGAAGTTAGATTTTTTAATGGCTGTTCTAATTGTTGAATTATTTTAAGATTTACTGAGTATATTTATTTGTTTAAATATATTCGTGATTTACTATATTGTTATTACGAGGGAAAATCTAGAATTATAATATTAATATATATGTTAAAAACAAGTACTTAAACAATTTTGCAAAAAAATAGAAATCTTCCTTTTTTTTAAATACACAAAAATTTTATGCTATCTATGAAAGTTAATTATAACAAAAATTAATATGTGTATGGAATGAATATCTTATAACAATGTAGAAAAAACATAAAACATACAGTACAGGCAATAGGAGTCAACGCTGGTCCAATTAGCGCAACTCTTCTTAATACTAAAAATATAAACCTTAACTTTGAACGTTTCCACTCATGGTTTGAGTCTTCATCAGCAATCTTTCCCCCTAGCGCAACGATTGGAGTATTGCATAACAAAATAATAGGCCTGTTCCTGTTTCCTTCTGGAGAGAAAAGGAAGAAAGATGGACTGGTGCAAAAGTTCAGCCAAAAAGAACAGACATAATATCTCCAACGTTTTTCCTCTCAAAATTGAATCGTTAACTGTTGTGAGGTAAGTCACATACTCACAAAGTTAGAAAGCTGAGTGGCAATGAGAACTCAAGCTCACACAGTCGACGCTTCTACACTGAACAATGAATCTCTCTTATGCAACATTTTGTAACTCGTTAATATGTTAAAAATTATCGTCAAATTTTAAAATAATAACTGCGAGAACAATATGTGTCTTGTCATTTCGACAGTCGGTTAAATAACTTATAATAAATATCTTATAATATCTTATAATAAATTAATACATATGAGATGGAAAATGAAATTCGGTAATAACAGTATGCGTCAGTCCCTTATAAATTATGGCGTTAATAATGATCTTGAGGTCTTTTTCCTTTCTTTCTTCGTGACATGTCCTTTCTTGCGTCTCCACAAAGAGCATTATACTTAAGAGATATCTTTTTCTCTTGAGACAGCAAATAACGACGCTTCTACGGAGTCTGAAATATTGGGGGAAGTGGAAAGATAAAGGAATATAATAAATTTCTCCCATGGAACTCTTGATAACATGTTTTTTCTTGATAATCTTTTATATAATAATAGCAACACTTATTTACCTGATCTAGATAAGACTTGTTTTCTTCGTAAAACGACTGGTTTTTTGTAAGTATAAAGACTGGTACAAAAGAGAAAGCTTTCAGAAACGTGACAATACAGCTTTGTTACAAATATGAAACTTCACGGCTGAAAAAGATCAAATAAGTATAATTAAAAAATTGTTCAGATGTATATGTTACGAATAAAGAATTTTGAAATAAATTCTGTGCTTTTATATTTAATAAGAAATGTAATAACCGTTTTATAAAAAAGGATCCTCATTGATAAAAAAGCATTTCTTTGGATGTAATTTCTTTTACATTAAAAATTTTTAAACTTTAATTACACGAAAATTGAATCTACCTCTTTTTTTCTTTAAATTTCATATTAAATAACTTAGCTTTTTTGTTGTGTACAGCCGAGAGATAAAATTTATTCACGTAAACGGTGCAATAAAAGATTCTTATTGTTTAAAATTTATTTCCTCAGAAATTAAATATTTTTGCAAGATTATTATTTCATAATCAGTGCGCATTTATGGAGGATGTTTTCCAGGGAATTTCTCGTGCGTTTGTAATTGTTACAATTTTATATTGTTCACTACTCAATTATATTACGAGTATAATGATATCGTAATATATTTGTAACATCAGATTACATAAACGTGTCATATAAATTAATAAAATAAACACGTAAAACAGTTTCGGTTAACATTGATTGTCACAATAGTCGCATGCATGTTTTTCGTTTAATTGACATTATATTTACAGATATAAACAACAAATAAAAACGCAGAATTTAAAGATACTTTGAAGGCCTACTTTTGACTTCATTCTGTTTTAGAATTTAAGATAGAATTTTATTTATAACTTTAACTTTAATTTTATTTATAATGTACCGTGTAATACGAGAAACACTCGAAGATAAAATGCTCTGTAAAAAATATATGAAAATTTTTTATGCATCAAAAGTACCTACATAAAAGCATATAAAAGTATGGTTCTATTTCCTGGTTTAATTACATTCAATAACAATGAATAACAACAATAGTAATTATTATTAATTCTCATAATCCCAATAATAATTATTATTAATATTACTGATAATTCCAAATATCCAAGTGGAATAATAGGTCACGATAATATAAAAATAATAATTTAAATTAATCTTAATCATATCAAAAAATTATTTTTAACTATTTTGGAGTTATTTTGACGCTATTTTGATGTCATTATTTTTTGTTTTGCTTGATGGGAACAAAATGATGATAAAATGACGTTTAAGTACTTACTATAATAGACGAAAGTAACTATTACTATGTTGTCATTTATCACTAGAAGTACCGAACGCGCGGTCTTTATTGACTGCTTTTATTTTTTAGATTATTATTTCTTTTATAAAAGATTGTATTCTGAAATTTTTTTACTTTTTAATAATTATGTCATTCATTTATACTGAAATATTTAGTTTTTTAAATCAATTTCTTTATTTTTATAGTAGTTTATTCGCTTTCTTTTTTTAGTAAATAAGAAACGTTGTTACTTTCATCAAAATTAACCCTTGCCGTACCATGTACAATTTGGTGCCTCATCCATACTATCAAGGGTCACTAGAATCACTTCGTTTTTTCTCACCTCTTCAAAATAATTCAAAAAATCTCTAAAAATTTACCAACATATTTTCAACTTACTAGAATAAATATTGATTCTTTATTTTGTAAAATAATAAAATGTAGTATAATTTATAATTACCGAAAGATTCAAAGAAACTTGCACGAACAGGAATCGCTCGGTCACTAGTTGCTCATATTGGTACTGTAAGGGTTAACGTTATTCTATCACCTGAAATAATAATAATTAATAATAATAATTTATTTTGAAATCTAATACGAATTATAAATCGTATAAAATGAGCTCTATGATTTATTCATTGCTGGTTTTTACTTTTAAGATTGTCCCAAGTACAGTCACTTCAAGATTCCATAAGCTAATCACAGAACCATATTAGCGTCTTGAAACATAATTTAAATCTTAAAATATAAAAACTGACTATGAATGCAGGAGCTTAGGTTTGAAACTGAGATTACTAGAACACCGAGCTCACATTTGAGCGTTTAAAAATGGCGCCAGGTCACGTGATCGCCGAGTGCTCGGAATGCGTGCCCGCTCCGGACTCTCTTTGCGTGTGAATGTGATACGTGAGGTAGGAGCTCGATAACGCGATATATAGTTTGGTAAAGTCAGCTGACGCCAGGATGCAATCGGCCGTCGCTCGTGGACTGTAATGCGATCGCTCCGTTATCGCGTGAGATTGTAAGGATCGCATTTGCGGAAAAAAAACGCGCGTTCTCTCTTCTCGCGCGACCCGTCAATCGAGGTGAGTACTGTAACTGGAATTCTCGAGGACGATCCCGCGGCTCTGCTCCGCCGCCGCATATTGATTCGCGATGTGCTTACGGCGATGTTACGCTTAATAACAATTAATCGTTTATCGAGGTGCTTCTCGAGAAACGTATTATTCTCGATTCGCGAACGTCCGGAGTGTCCTACTGTATTTTGAGGTTAAGAGAAAATGATGTCTGTTCGACTTTTATTTTAACTCCCTCTCAACGAATTTCAATATTTTTATACATCCATGAAATATTATCTTTTTCATGTTTCAGTTGGGTACGCGAAGAACTTGTATAAATTTGGGTATTGATTAGAGAGCAAAGGAAGTCACCATGCCGCTCAGTGCAGGTAAATATCAGTATAATTTATTTGTCATTTTATTTTGATTATCTTATATATTGTAAAATAGGTGTAATTTTGGATTAAAATCGAAGTAACTTTTTGATCCAAATTTTAGTAATGCTCAGAGCATGCATGTCAAAATTGGGACATAAGACAGGTCTTAAAGATATTTTAAGAAATCTTGATTTTAAATATGTGTGTTGGTTAAACATTTTTTTAAATTAAGTTATTTTCTAAAACTTTTAAAGTAAATCTCACTCTAAAGAGTGAAGTCTTTTAAAAATTTAAAATTGAACCGTTCTCTTTGAAAACTCGACTGGCTCAATTTTTACTTTTTAGAATGAGATTTCACTCCAAAAAATTTTGAAAGTATTAAGTCCCGACTAGGCCAAAATTATCCCATTTTATAAAAAGCTTTAATAAATATAACTTGCGTCATTCTATCAACCTATTACTTCTAAGTTAATGTCTTGTCATTCGTTGCAGATATATCTACAGCGCTCCACCTGCTGGAGCACGTGCAGGAACGGGTAGAGGATTGCGACGATCCTAAACTGCAGATGCATACGTCGCAGGATTTGAAGTCATTAATTTCGTTGTTAGAGGATCCAGTATTTCGTAGCATAGTCACGATTCAAGATTCCTTGATTGAACTAAATACACAACTGACGCATCATCCATCTATCTTGCCCGGCGACTTTGACATTAACATCAGCGGACAACTGGAGCTTTCCGTTCCGACTACACCGGTGCAACCTCTCGGACCGAATATGTATCAAGACTTGTATCAAGACAGCAGCGAGCTGGAAGATCAGAGAGTTCCTGTCGCTCCGTTACTGCACAGTAGCAGCGAGGACACGAGCGCGCAGGTATTATTGTATCATCGTTGTATTTTGTAAGGATCGATCATGTACTTTTATGCATCTATCACAGGACTTGTCGTTACTTTGTCACAGGTTACTAGTCCCAGTCTTGTTTCGGAAGTTATGGGAATGCCGCCTATAACAACACCTACTTATGCAAAGGAGTTTAAAAAAGTCATCGAAGCTGCGGCGAAAGGACGACAAATATTTACAGTGCAGGTAAATTTTTCATAAGACATGAAACTTTTTTATAAAATATTTTTAAGAGTGACTTTTTATATATCATTAAAGCATCTATCATGTTCATTTTTTAAGTAAAGAGTGGAGAAAAAATCAGAATAAAATTAGATTTAAAATATCTCGCTAATGAAGATGATTTTATGTCTTTCTAGTTATATAAACCAGAAGGAACTAGTTTGGGATTCAGCGTAGTCGGACTTCGAAGCAAGGATAAGAACGAGGTTGGCATATTCTTACAAGAGATACAACCAAACGGTATCGCAGGCTGGTAAGTTGACCTAGTCTTTTATTTTTCTCAACGTTTTTGCTGCATGCTTTCAAAATAGATGGGCCTGCAAATTTTAATAACTTTATATATAATAAATATCGCTATTTTGATATATAATAGCAGCTATATGTTTCTTTTTTATCAAAAGATTCGACGATTGGAAGTTTGATAAACATTTTCGCTTTAGTAGCGTTAGGGATTTCGGCAAAATTTTTAAGTTGAGTATATATATATATATATATGTTTTTAGCAAGTCAATCAGATAGCAAGTCTCGCCAAATGTCAAAAAGCATTTGATAGTAGTCAGTAAAAAGATTGTATCGCGATAACGGGCTTGAAGTGAGAAATAGGGATGATCCGTGAGTGGGCGCAATATCAGGTGATCCAATAACTTCGCTTTACCGCAGTGCGGTTGAACCGGCATTTCTGAGTAGAACTCGAGAAACATACTCTTTTTTTTTTTAAATCAAGAATATTTTCATGAATTATTATGCTATACCCTTAAGAGGCTTTCTACATTCATTCGAGCTTTATTTCAGCAAAAAGTCAGGTCCGTCGTATCAATTACTTTTTGTCGTTATAACGTGCCGTTATCAAGTTTGCAAATCTCGACGGAAATTCGCTGTTAATGCATAAACCCAACGGAGAAACACGATCCCCTTTTAGCTCGGCGAGAGCGAAACGCGATTCCTTGATTGCTCCTGGGGAGAGAAAATGAGAGAGTGAAGGAGAGAGAGAGAGAGAGAGGGGGGGGGGGGGGAG